TATATAAGTCTACTGCTATTGCTATTGCTATTACTGCTATTGGGACCAGCATTTCTACTGCTAAAGAAGATGGTTGTTAAGTGAGTTGCTCCCAATTTTGTGATGTTTTTCCCCACAGTCATTAAGTGAATCACTGAGTTGTTAAGTAAATCTGGCTTCCCTTATTGACTTTGCCTGTTGGAAACCAGCTGGGAAGATTGTAAATGGTGATTACATGACCCCAGGATGCTACATAAATACATGCTGGTTGTCAAGGACACAATTTTTGATCATACAACTGTGGGGATGCCGCCTGACTGTAACTGTGAGGAATGGTTGTAGGTCACTTTTGTTAGTGCCGTTGTAACTTTCAATGATCACTAAATGAATGCTTGTAAGTTGAGGCTTCTTTTGTGTCCTCTGTTACTTTATCTCACAATAATGGGCTTATGAGCATCCTTAACTGGGGGTTAACAATCTTAACTGCGGGTTATTTTGGGGTGTAGGGCTTATGAACATCCTGAAAAATCATGCTAGGGTTTATTTTCCAGTTGGGTGTTATTTTTGGGGAAACAAGTAGTAACATCAAGGCTGCAGATTCATGTGAGATCACAGGTTTCCTTAGAACTTCCACAGACCTTGAGCATCTCTTCCATTTAATGTCACCTGTGTTAGAACCTTATTTATCAAATTTCCTGTCTTGAGTGATGCATTCATCTATGCTTAGTTTTTGTTTCTGTAAGGTTGAGAAGTCCGTGTCACTTATGCTTGCTTTCCCCTAGTAACTCCCAAGAGGATATCTAGTATAATTGCCTGGATCTGGCTTTGAAGGGGAAAAGGTGCTTCAGAACATGTGAGGGCATGCACACAGCCTCTGTCGGAAACTCCTTAAACCTAATGTGTAAATTTTTTATGATCCTATTGCAGCTGCAGAGGGCAGCTGCATGATCCTAAGAAAAGATGTGGTTGCTTTAGTGAATTATTGACAGGTGCCATGTTTTAAGTCCCCACATACTTTTCCCCCCTGAACTCTGAAATATTGCATAACCCTAATACCTATATGCAAAAGTCACGTCAAATACTAAATTCCTTTCCCACGAAAACTATGTCACAGTAGAGTGGGACCAAGGAAGACTTTCCAAGAAAAATGAAGGAAACAACAAAGTTATGCAGACAGATTCACACGTAGGGTGGCTCTCCTGTTGTTCAGTATACTGTCCTTAGGCTGAAGGAAGCATCAATCTTAAAGACAAAGACTTATAAAGGATTGCAGGAGAGGGTTTTATCAAATAACATTTCGATAAGAAATAGAGCAAGCATACAGGTTTGGTCAGATATACTGTACATAAAGTCCTTGAGTTAGAACAGTTCATTTAATGACCGTTCAAAGTTATAATGGCACTGAAAAAAGTGACTTGTGATCATTTTTCACACAACCATTGCAACATCTCCATGGTCATGTGATCAAAATTTGGGTGCTTGGTAACTGATTCATATTTATGATGGTTACAATGTTCTGGATCAGATGATCACCTTTTGTGATCTTCTGACAAGCAAAGTCAATGGGGAAGCCAGATTCACTTAACAACTATATTATTAATGTAACAACTGCAGTGATTCACTTAGCAACCATGGCAAGAAAGGTTGTAAAATGGGGCAAAATTCACTTAACAAATGTTTCACTTAGCAACAGAATTTTGGGACTTAATTGTGGCTGTAAGGACTACCGGTATTTCAGTATTTTGTTTGGTAGAATTAAATCTGTACATATAACTCAGCAAATGCTAATACCAGATTCTCCTGGATTAATTTTTTTCAATCATATATAAATGACTATGTTAACCAATCTCACTGCTAGAAACAACTAAGCGCAAGAGGAGTCTAGCATAAAGTTATCTATTAACACCTGCTCTTACACCAAGTAAATGGCTTCTAGATTGTGTATTGTCTAAGTTGAAGTCTCAAATCCAAAATGGCATAGGGTAATTTGGAGAGGCTTTTCTAAAACCCTATCATAGTGAAACACAAGCCTCTTACTTGTCCTATTGTCCTATTTCAAAGATTTCTGCTAAATTCCACCTCTAATATATGGTTTAGGATCTAAGCATGTGGGAAGAAATGGGAAGAACCTCGCAATAACGAGGATGGAAAGGTTTTTCAAAAGTCTGACAGATTTTTCCTCCTGGGGAGGAAACCTATGGCAAATCTATACAGCATACTAAAAAGCAGAGACATCACCCTGCCAACAAAAGTGTTTATAGTAAAGGCCATGGTTTTCCAAGTTGCAATGTATGGCTGTGAAAATTGGACCATAAGGAAGGCTGAGCACCAAAGAATTGAGGTCTTTGAACTGGAGAAAACTCCTGCAAGTCCCTTGGACTGCAAGGCAATCAAACCGATCAGTCCTAGAGATCAACCCTGACTGCTTTTTAGAAGGCCAGATCCTGAAGATGGATACTTCAGAAACTTTGGCCACCTAATGAGAAGGAAGGACTCACCGGAGAAGAGCCTAATGCTGGGAAAGATTAAGGGTAAATGAAGAAGGGGGCCACAGAGAATGAGGTGGCTGGATGGAGTTAACGAAGCAGTCAGTGTGGACTCCAGGGGATTGTGGACAGGAAGGCTTGGAGAAACTTTGTCCATGGGGTTGCGATGGGTTGGACACGGCTTCACAACTAACAATAACAATGTTCTTAAAAGCCTGGGTGGGCGATCAAATTCAATCCTTGACAAGTCTGCCCTTAAATCGTTGCAATCAAACTACAATCAGCTGCTCTAATCACAGCACAACAGATTAAATCACAGATGAGGGAAGAACTTCTTACAAGCTGATCTGATATTTAGTAGCAGGAGCCGAAGCCAGGGCTTCTGAAAGTCTGCTGACTGGTAGAAGGCACTGGGCTTACTTTGATTGTTTATTTGTTGTTGATTGTTTATTTGTATGCCGCCCTTTTCCCTGGGGGGACTCAGGGTGGCTCACAATCCAAAGGAAGGGGGGGGAAACAGACTTTTACATATAAGANGTAAAGGGTTGCGTTTGGAAGATATCGGCCTGGCAGCTCTCTAAGCCTGATAAGGTCTGTGGTTGTCAATTTCCCCTGGAAAGACTGTTTGCCAGAACTCTGCTCGATGCGAATGAGAGAAATTCACATTCGCTTAATAAAAAGGGGTTTTGTCCTGTCAGAACAGGAGGTACCTGAGAGAAATTCTTCCACTGGAGAAAACCCGGAGCAGGAAATTCCCTTCCGTATTATTCAGGAAAGTGCTGGGAACGACCAGGTAGTACCCAGGAGAAAGCTCGCAATGGAGATGCACCTCTCGGTTGAAGGAATGACAAGCGGTGCTCGCTACGGGGGGCGCAGAGAGCGTCTTGGGGAGGTTGAACTGTTTCTTCTCAATCTGGAAAACAAGAGAGCAGGACGGGGCTGAATACCGGAAGTCCTCGACTTGCAACAATTCATTTAGTGCAGGTGTGTCAAAACTCAATTCCATTGAGGGCCGCATCAGCAGAGGTGGGTTGCTCCCAGTTTGGCTCGGATCGGGCGAACCGGTAGTGGCGGGAAGCTCCACCCACATGCCCCACGATTCTGCACAGAAGCATTGCGCGCACAAATGAAGCGGTAGTTTAAAAAAATCGAAACCCACCACTGTGCATCACGGTTGGTTTTGACCTCAGAGGACTGGGAGCGCGTGGCCAGCTCAACATCACTTGTGTCGGGAGCGCCTGTGGTGGCCAGAGCACTCTGCCAGCGAACACGGGCTCGCAACAATGGTGGGTTACGACTGGTATGCCTCGGTACGGGCGTACCGGTGCCTTCCGGGAGCACTGGGTATCATTCCAGTATGGTGCTCCAGAGGGCCCGCCTGCCGTCCTTACCTGTATTTGAGCTCTTCAGGGCTTACGGGCATGGAGCGTACGGCATCTGTGCGACGCTCCGCTGAGCAGCTGGAGTGTCTCGGAGGCGTCACAGAGCGTCGCACTTGGAAAGTACACATGCGCATCCTGCACGCGTTCATGCGGTGCACGCTGGGCCCTGTTGCACCGTACCGGTTGCACCGGGATCCGGAACCCCCACTGCCTCGCGAGCTCCATTTTCGGCTGCGACAGGCTCCAGCAACCTTCTATCACAGAAAATGGAGCTTGGGAGGATTGCCTAAGCTCCATTTTTGCTGGCAGAGGCACCGCGGGCCAGTCCTTCACTGTTTCCAGGGCAGTCCTGCAGACCATATCTAAACACTTCACAGGCCGAATCCGGCCCCCAGGCCTTAAGTTTGACGCCCCTGGTTTAGTGGCTGTTCAACATCCCTGAAAAAAAGTGACTCGGGGCCATTTTCAGAGTTACGACCTTTGCAGCCTCCCCGTGATCATAATTCAGATGCTTGGCAACTGGTTCGTATTTGTGACCATTGCAGTGTCCCCAGGTCATGTGATCACTATTTGCGACCTTCGGACAAAACAAAGTCAGTGGGGAAAGCCTGATTCACTTAACGGCCGGGTTAGTAACTTATCCACGGAAGCACTTTATGGAACAACGGTGGCAAGAAAAGGCGTAAAACGGGACAAAATTCACGTGATGAATGTCTCGCTTAGGAAAGGAAATTATAAGTTCAATTGGAGTCATATGTCGAGGACTGCCTGTATGTAGGCGAGAAAGACAGCATCATTTTACATGTTGAGAAACCAGAGACTGGATTTTAAAAGTACGTCAGGAATATAAGCCGCTCCTTCAACCTTTAAAAGCTATTTTAGTGCCGAATTCCAATCCAGGTTTTGGCCACCAAAACCTTCTTCGGGAACTTTTCTGCTCTCAGAATTAAAGAGATTTACAAGGAATTCACTGAGGAAGACCGGAATACGTCAGAAAGAGAGCGGATGGATTGAGACCATCGTAGATTTTCCAGCTGTCTTTGGATTCTGCCCTGCACTGGACTTGTTTACCCCAAGATCAGGGTCACCAATGGTGAGATAAGAGGCAGTTGAGCCCACAGAAAGAAAAGGGGAGTGAGAAGAATCTCAGAAGAGACACCTTAGTTTCTTGGACTATAAAGGTAAGGGGAGAAGAGATGTGCAGGTAGGCCTTGACCAGGGGTCAAAGAGCCACAAAGGTTCTAACTGGAAGCCCCAGTTCAATTCTGGAGCCGACCAGAAGTCTGGTTCCCCTACCACAGAGTCTTCTCCTAGTGCGGCATTTTTTTCCCCTCTAACTGTCCTAACTGAAAGCCCTATCAATTGTGATGCCGACCGGCGACAGGGAGCCGCAGCAGAGGGATGAAAGAGCCACATGTGGCTCCAGAGCCACAAGTTGCCAACCCCTGATCTTGACCTATGACCACAATTGAGTCCTAAATTTTTGTTACCAAGTGGCACATTTATTAAGTGACTTTCTCCCCATTTTATCACCTTTCTTTGTCCCACTCGTGAAGCCTACTCAATCTACATCTTGGCTATTCAATTCTAGGTAGCCCCCCGACTTACGGACACGACTGAGCCCCAGATTTCTGTTCCTACACGAGACGTTGATTGCGTGAATTTTCCTCCCATTTTTATGACCTTACCAGCCACCGTTGTTAAAGGAATCGCTACGGTTGTTAAGTGAGTGTCATGGCTGTTAAGAAAATCTGGCTTCCCCATTGACTTTGCTCATCCGAAGATCGCAAAAGGGGAACGCATGACTCCCCCAGGGCACTGCAATGGTCATAAATATGAATCCGTTCCCATGTGACCACGGTTGTTAAGTCTGAAAAATGGTC